AAAGAGAGAAAGAGAGAAATGGCATGCGGGGCGGGATGGAGGAGGGAAGGGAGGAGCCACCGTAAGAGCATAGCCGGAGTAAGAAAGATGGGACGAAAACATCGATTGCAGGGGCTTGTAACACCGCGGTACGAACAGAGGGATCAAGCCGAGCGATAAACCAAGCGGCCTGGAAAATGCCGGATCAACGGTACGATGTTTCAGCAAAAACTGCCTCGGAATCGGAACAGCCCCGACTCAAAGAGAGAAGACGGACGGGTGGGAGGGAAGAGCGCTCGCTGGGAGGGAGGAAGGACGGGGGTGGATTCGGGAATGAACGCTGGAGAAACGTGGAGCTCTCTTCTCGTGGTGGTTTCTACTGGCCCACGATTCCACCCTCTTCCCGGTTCTTCGGCGAACGCTTACCGCGTATATACATCCATGCCGGTACATATATGAATTTTGCGTTATGCACCGCGTTATACCGCCGTCCTGTAGACGCGCACGGAGTCCCGACGGATTTACGAGGGAAATAATACGAATTAAACTAACGTCTGCGCGCCGGCGATGCGACGCGCCGTAAACGGCCGATCCCTACATGAAATCGAAAATGAGGGTAATTCCCCGTGATAAAATATAACGAAGTCCTACACGAACGTGTAACGGGCGCGCTGGTTGATAAAATAAATTCAAGGTCAAAATAAATTCAACGTTAGCTATAATTACCCGCAGTACGTGTATTTAATATTAATTAAGTTACCCTGTTATGCTAAATGAGAGACAAAAGTTCCAAAGATCGTATAAAAAGGGATGCTAGACTGCATGAACTGTTCAATTAGAAATAGCATACTGAAAAATGAATATCTATATATATTAAATAAATGTAATATAAAAAAATGTAACATAAAAAAATAATACATAAATGTAACAATTATCAAATTTTTAATTAAAAAGTATATAAATAAAGAGTGAAGTTATTTTTCGCATTGGTTTGCGTTATCTTTAACTATTTCTCGAATAAACTTTTCATATGAAAAAACATGTTTATGAGTATATAAAATGTGTGTGCGATTGTACGCATATTGAACTTAGATCCATTAATTTGTTGATATTTATTCTTACCAATGTAAATTAACTTCAATTAATAACTAATTAATCTCTTTTAATTGATCTTCTTATATAGATAGGCACAACATTTAGTTTTAGTTCTAAAAATTAGGAAGAGATAAAAAGTAAATTAAAATTAAATCTATCATCATTGATAGAAAAGTGGACATGAGTTGAAATAATTATGCCGGATCATCTCTAATGAGAAATCATTAAAACGAGAAATACACATAGAAGATAGCCATCTGCAAAAGAGTACGCGAAACTTAATACGCTCGCAAAATGGAATGAATGATTATCAAAGTTAGCACTCTGTAGATAACTTATCGAATGACGGTTGCTCGCGATAAACCTTATTTAATTATTAAATCCAACCCTATCGAATTTCGTTTCACGTGACTGTATCTGTGACACATCAGATTAGATTCATTAGACTAGTCTGCCATCTATCAGCTGACGTATTTCCGATTGAATATCTTTATCAACTGAAGGAAGAGGTAGCAGGAGTCATCGCGTATCGTTGGGAGATGGCAACCGCTTCAAAGAGTAGCCTCGCGGAAAGAGAAAGAGAGAACAAACAGTCCGTCCAGGTTACCGATCAGCGCAACAATAATACTCGCTAGAAACGTGAGAAAACGTCAAAAAACGGTCGCGCTATTGTTCGCCTAATAATCGTGTCGTACGCGAGATTTCCGACCTCGCGGAGCGGACTGCCCAAGTTTGTGATTATGTAGTGCGGCGAACATGAAGACGATAGAGGGAAAAGTAGTGATGCTGGGATCGCAAGGTGAGCGTTGATCGGTAAAGAGACGATTAAAGCACGATTGCCGTTATGTAATGCCAACGAAAGAGTGAAACGTGAAAATACGGCGAGGATGCGTGACGCAGGGATCGATCATCGTGTCATTGTTCCCCGGTGTATCTTTTGCCGTGTCGCGAAGAGGTTAGGTGAATGTTATCCACGGACACAGTTCGCATATAGATCGGGGATTTACAGACACAGATCCAACACGCAGCTACGCGCGGAACTAGACCTGTGTCGCAATTGTTGCTAAATGCATACGCGATCGCATTGCGTGTGGAGTAAAGCTCGCTTGGGATCGAGGAAAAAAAATTGAGAGATTTTGTTTCGTTGATAGTAATTCTTAACTTAAATGAAATCTTAATTTCTCGTGCAGATATTTACGACAATACGTATATAATATGTTTGATTATCCTCGTAATCGCGAGGATAATAATCGTGAAAAAATTGCAAATTGCGTTTCGACTCGCTTTCTGAATTCTCCTCAGCGTTTGATGGTTTTGCGATTGTTATCTATGTGATTGTTATAGGAATAATCTCTTTTGATATATATGTAGATAAATTATGTCGACAAACCGCATTCCGGTCCCTGCTTACGCTATCAAAATTTTAGAGTCGAAGAATATTTTTTTTTATAATGTAGATGTATGAAAATGATTTTTTAAAATCCCAAGTCAGATCTCTGCTTGGTATAAGCATGGCAATGTTTATTCTTGTATTATGATACATTCTCGAAATCTTGAGGTCAAACTCCGCACGTGACATAATTTTTCAACTCACTGATAATAAGGCATCCAGAGATAATAGAAATTGAAATCCGTAATCATTTTGTATTTAACGCCTATCTTTTTTACTGTAATCAATACATTTCAGCTAATGACAAATCGTAGTCATTGATAAAAAATCGCATCAACAATACTCTCCCTTTTGAAAAATTTTGTTTTATATATATATAACAAACAAAATATTTTAATCTTAATAGTTTTATCAACAGCGCACTTCAAAAGTACACGATAATCCGTGTATAATTTTCTAATTATTTAATATTTGCTGCAACACACACAAGTATAAAATATTAAATAATTAAAAAATTATACATGTATTATCATGTACTTTTGAGGCGTGCTGATAAAATTGTATTGGGAAAGACCGAGAATGTTATTGCAATTATATTGTTTATTAATATTGTTGATATATCATGAAAAATTGTACGTATGTATACATGTGTTATATAATTGTATAAACTATATCATGTTTTAATTTTTAAAGATTATTTGAAATAAAAAATTTTGATATGAAAATATCGAAGTTTTAAATAATTTTTAAATTCTTAGCAATCTTAAAATCAATAATATAGCCGCATAGAATTCATTCGTGTATTCAAGCTCGTAATTATCATATCGATCTGTTATTTGTTATTAATTTTTGTAGCTGATATCCATTTTTATCGTCCAATTAATTTTGTCTTTTAATGTATGCATAATTAACATATATATTATAATAATTAATTATTATTATATAATAAGGTAATTACAAACAAAAAACAAAAAATTTGAATTGCTAGGCGAATGATCTAATTCATATTTAATAACTATTTGCATATTATTACACCATTCATATATATATATGACAGAGAAAATTTTCTTTCTTTTTCTTGTTCTTACTATATTTTATAAAATAAATTTATCGTTAAAGTATTATTTCATTATTTATATGACGTTTTTTTATTATTCAATTTCGATAAAATTTTTTTATCAACAACAAAATATTTTCTTTCATCTATCTGATTTCACACATCATTTTAATATGCTTCAAGTGATATCAAATTAAGTATAATAATAATAATAAATGTATAGACAAGCTATGAAAAATTATATTAAAAGTATTGCACTAGAAGACTAAAATAATAACGTTATTGCCGTTCTTCTATTAAAGAAATGATGTGTGTCGCGTTAAATAGTTCTGTAAATAATTTATCGATATCATTAATTTTCCTAAATGTGATGTAAAATAAATGCATATTTTTTATTCCCTGCGCTTTACGCTAATTGTTACTAAACGATATGAATCACGGATTTTGTGATGCTGGAATGACTCAATATCTACCAAATTGCGCCATTCCGCGATAAAAAGTTTAAAACGGATGTATCTGGTTTTCAAACGTCAAGTAAGACATATTTAGCACTCGATAATATTTAGTACTCGCCAAATGTTAATTCACAAATCCTACTTTGTGCCTCTTCAATTGCTACTTTCAATGAGTGAATCATACAATTCAATGAATGTATCTACCTTGATAAAGAATTGTCGTCTTGATATTCTTATGAATCATGAATATTAAAATTAATTCTATAAACAAACATGTTTTGTTAATTATAACTTATAACATTATAACTTATAACATTTGTTAATTATAATAATTATATTTTCTTTTCAAGTTCATCGCGATTGTCTTTCTAGACGAATGTAATGATACAAAAAGTACCTCGCATTGCTATTTTCGTCTCATAAATAGTAATAATTAATTAAGTAATTAGTAGTTGTTAAATCGTAGAAGTTTGAAATTTCCACTTTCAATATGTGATGCCACATATATAACATATAAGTGTAACCAAAATGAAGTTCGCCGAAGCGAGGCCGAAACAAGGTTCATTTACATTTTAAATTAGTTTGAAAGATTGAATTCTGTTTATACAATTTATATAAAAAAATCAAGAAGATAATATCAACTGCATAATAAAATATTATTTTAAACTATAAAAGTTAATAAAAATTGGATTTCTTCATGTATGTGTAAGCGTAAATTACAAATTATTTGACTGGCTAATCAATTTTACAATTCAAAAATGATTATATCTACGATATTTTTATATGATATCTACGATATCAAAATCTTTTGCTTTGAATTAACTTTCAGAGTATGTTATTAAAGTAACGTGTGACAATTGCAGATGTTCTATATTTATATATTCATATATTTAAAATGCATTTAAAAATTATATAAATATTATTTAAAATATTATACAGCATATTTTTATATGAATATTGTAAAACACAAACAAACAATAATTAAACGTGATCTAAATATAATTGATTACGCAAAAGTATATTTATCTATATTTTTTAATATCAAAAGGAAGCTCGATTCTCGCATGACAGTCTGAAATACATTTATGATATCAGATAAGGTGATTGATTTTTTTGTATATAGAAAGATATATGAATGTTATCAAGTATAAATGTTAGCATTTAATTGTACACAAATATCATTCATACATAAATCATGATATCATTTCAGGTGTCGGAAAAACTAGCTTGATCGGACGTTACTTGGGAAATTTCGAACATGCAAGTCCTACGATAGGGGCGTCCTTCTTCAATTGCAAAATCAATTTAAATGACATGAGGATAAAATTGCAAGTAAGCTTTGAAATAATCATATTTCCCTGTATTCTTGTATTAATATTCAGCAATTGATATAAAGATTTAGTGTATCGACGACGAACGGACACGAGCTGCTTCGTTCATGTTATCTTTTCAATTAACCTTCCGACCCGTCAATTCATCCGCTGTTTGCTTCGGTATCTCGATACCCTTCGATAATGCCTTCGACAATGTAAAATTCACACATTTTATCTAACAACAATATTTGAGAAAAAAAATTAAAGCTTGATTAAAGAATTAAAAATTCTTATGCAGGTATGGGACACGGCTGGCCAGGAGAGATTTCGTTCCATGGCGCCGATGTACTACAGGAACTCCAATGCTGCCATGTTAGTGTTCGACCTTACGCAGTACAACACCTTCTCCGCGATTAAGGTTTGGGTAAAGGAGCTACAACAGAATGTAGAGGAAACAATGGTGCTAGTCGTCATCGGAAACAAGTCTGATTTGGTGCAACAGCGTCAAGTCGACAGTGAGGAAGGTCAAAGATACGCCACATCAATTGGTGCTACATATCATGAGATCTCAGTGCTACATAACGAGGGAGTAGAGACCGTTTTTCTGGCCATCGCTACGAGTCTACGAAGAATGGCATCAGACAATAACGATATTAACACTACCCTTAGGATTTCAGATTCTAATAGTTTTCTTAAAAACGACGATATGCTACCCTCGCCTTCCATCGAGGAGAGTCCACAAAATACCAGTATTGCACACGGCATACACGAAAAGCCTTTTACCTGCTGTTAGTTCTAGTTTATTAAAAATAGACGGTTAGTAATTAGAGGAAAATCGCGCCTTAGGAATTCGCATCAACTATCAAAACGTTATTTGCCATGTCAAACGGATTGTTTCGTTAGTAAACTGCAAGCTTTTGTCTTATGATGCGTTTTCAAAATGGAAAATATATGTGTAGCATATAAAGCAAACGAACAGTCATTCTTCCAACAACAGCAGCAGCTTGATTAGTCAAATTGGATTTATATAAGACTACACTTGTCTTAATTTATCACGAGTTTTGAGTGACAATGTCAAAATATTAGACTAATGCTGAAAAAGTTATATACGAATCGAATTTTCCACGTAAATGAATAATAAAAGTTAGGCAAAAGACTATATTTTTTGCATATTAAATTTATACGTAGATTATGTATAAAATAACGTGACATGTTAATTAAAAAAAAGTGATTAGGATTATAACAAATTTAATATAATATTGTACAACTATTATAAGTTCAATTTATTAATTGTACGTTATATTTAAAATCTTCTAATTTGATAAATTTTGTTATTCTAAACTTACTTTGTAAAATATGATAAGAATATGTTATTTTATATATAAAAACTGATTAACATTTCATAGAAATGATTATACAGCTTGCCATTAAAAAGTAAATCTTCGCAAATTGCAACTAATTTATAATTAACATTATTTTTATTATTACTAGATAATTTTTTACGAAACAGTATTTGATATCAGTGCACGAATTATTTATATAAATGAAATAGAATAGATTTATATATTATTTATATATTATTAATATTTTTAGCGAAGACTGCTAAACTTTAAGTTCGAATAAATAATACAGTTCGAACATTTTTCCTATGCAGACGACGAATTATATTTTCGGTTTTTAAGAAAAATTCTAACACTTTGTCATCTTTATTTTTGCATATATTGTGATATGTACATTCACGCGCCTCTCTCGTCGAATATACTTTTAAAAGATTTTATATCCGTCAGAGATAAAAAATATATTTGTGATAAAAAAAAATACATGATGCATTTATAAACAATTTCCCCTTTTCAATTCCTATTTAAATTATACGATTAGTGCAGATTTTATTGCACAAATCTACATTCTGCGATATTTTATATTTTCATTATCAGATATATAAATTGAGATGATTAAGAGATATATAATATCATTTTACATAGTTGAAATAGGATATGCTTGTGTGAGATCCGAAAAGCTGCGCCTCCTCGGGAAATCTGCTCGTCGCGCTACGACAGAGAGCGATAATCACACAATGACTCATTCTCACTTCAGGCCGGGCTTCGCGGAGCGTGACGTCCCAGCTTTGTCTACGTGTAACTCATCCCATTTTCGTTATGTAACCGTCCGTTTACTATGCATCTAGGCCCATTAGGACTGCGCGGCGGCATCTTCGAAACCTACGCGCAATGGCAAGACACGCTCAGGGTCGCCCGCGCTTGCCTGGAGTCAAGGAACCTGAACTCACGTTTTTTCACTAACGTAATTCGACAAGGAAACTTTTGTGTGTGTGTGTGTGTGTGTGTGTGTGTGTGTGTACATATGTGTGAAAGAGAGAAAGAGAGAGATCTTAAAGTTCATGCAATGTGAAGGATTAAGGAATAATCAGAGGAAAGAATATTTACAAACGTTAGCGTGAAGAATATGAAGGAATTTTGAAAAAAAATAAAGTACACACACTAAGTAACACAGTAAGAATAATTAAGATTTATTTAAAATTATCAAATTATATTGTATGTGTTGCGAATAGCTGTATTAGCTATCGAATGATAAATTAAATTCGATTACTTCATCTTCTCAAATCATAGTTACATCCAGATCTGACTTTAGAAAGACTTTATGAAGATATGCCTGTACCGTTACACTATAATTATCTATCCGTTCGTTTCTGAAATGTAGTGTAACTCCAAGATAGATATAATAATGATGATTATGCGCGGCTTTCGCACGAGTAAAAGCGCTCGCGCAATTAGTCGAAAGCAAAGTATACTCCAATAGACGAAGAATCGATTAGCATACCGCACGAGCATAATAACATAAAAAGTTTTATCGCCGTTTAAGGACAATAGGCCGTAAAATGGTAAGTATAAGATTGGCCAACCACAGTCGTCGCGTAACTGCAGCTCGATTTTACGCAAAGGGAAGCAGCGCAACGTACTTTAACACGCCCTTCTCGACACGCTCGCGACGTAAGAAAATTATACCCTCGAGTCTTTGACACGCGCGAAGATAACTTTCGAGGTTTGTCAAAGACAAAGAATTTCATCTCGTCATTGCAACAGGTGCATTTTCACTTTCTTCTTGTTAACGATTGTGCTTCTCCGAGTGAGATAATCAGAGCCTTTCGATAAATGGGATAGGCCGCAAAAAATAAATTGTTACTATAAACTCATTAAAAAAAAAAAAAAAATAAGTGTACAAAATCTCAATACGATATGTACACGAAAAGAACACTTTTGCCGGCAAATCTACAAATTTGACCAGATACAGATCTGAAAATAATTTTGTTGGCCCATCAAAATTATTTGATAGAACACTTAAATATAATGATTAATAGTGCAAAAATGTTTGATCTTCTAACAATCAATTTGAACATCGTATATAATAATTTTGAAGGCTCAACAAAATTATTTTCAGATCTGTATCTAGCCAAATTTTTTAGATCTGCCAGCAAAAGTGTTCTTTCCGTGT